GACATGTGGCATGGATGATGGTGGTGCCGATGACATGCCACGCCGTTTGATGGCCGCTCTCTGTGGCAGATCAAGCGGAAATGTGACGTCGCAATAAATAACAAAAAAACAAAAACAAAAACCAAAAACAAAAAAAAAGTGAACCGCTTTGTTAGTGCAAAAGTTCAAAGCTTTTTTCCAGCGGAATATCTTCACTTTTCTCTGCCCTGCAGAATGTGGCAGTTGCAATTGCAGAATTTCTTGTTGATTTTGCAGGGTAAATGGTGCCGGAAGATGGTTTTAACGATGGATTATAAATAGAAATGCGGCGATTCCGTGGATTCTATGGAGTGTTAATTGATAAAAGATGGAATTGTAGTAGAATTGGAGCAGGAAGTTCTCCAGGAAGATGTTCTAAAGAAGAACTTTTTGAACAATCTGTGATCTGTGAGCTTCTTATTGGAGGGGGCTTTCAGCCTTTTTGGAGCTGGAATACAATGAGACATAAACACCTCTAAAACTTATCAAAAAAACCCAAAAGATATTTCCTGGCATGTTGTATTGTTGTATGAATACTCGTATATTCATTCATTCAGCAATCTATGAATATTTTTTAAGGACTTCGAGAACTACATCCTAAATCAATCAATGAATCACTATTTGTTCCCTAAAACTATTCAAATTATTCATCACAACCTTGAAAAATCCCTCAAATGTTTTCATCGCTCTCTCCCAGTGCCGCTTAGCTGCGAAGGGATGAGCTGTGATATCCTGAAAGTGCTCTTCGGTAGCTCTCTTTTTGTGCTGTTTCCCAAAGCGAAAGGATATTTGAAAGGTCCACTAAATGAGTTCATAAACCAGCTTGGAGGGTTAATGTCGACGCACACGTTCCTCAACAACAAGATACATACGTGGAACTCCGTTTGTGCAGAAATTCCATCGGAAATGATTCATCAGGTGCTTCAAGGCTTAATGGCTCTTCCGAAGAATGTTATCCGATTTCCACGTTTACTTAATAGCTTAATGAATGGAACCCTGAATGAAACAAAACAACACAAAACACATAATAAACAATTTGGCAACAGATTAAAATGAAAGATGAATGAAGTAACCTGCGAAATCAATTGTTGGCCATCGCAAACGATTTGGCCAAAAAGAAACAAACGGAAAACGGCAAACGGCAAACGGTTTCTCCCTTTTGCGGCAAGAGACCTCCCAAAGGCCGAGGTCGCGGCGGCATGCCTCTGCCTCTGCCGTGTACCCCCTCGCGGATAATAATTATCCACTGCCGGAGGGGGCGCTCTCTTGGGCTCAGGTGTGGCCCTTTTTTTCCCAACAAATTAATTATTGTTAGAGCTGAGAAATTAAGAGAAATACTCTGCTGAAGCGATTGCCAATAAGCGAAACGAATGCCCAGTGCGGAGCTGTTGCCACCAAAGTGCCACCAAAAGGAAGGTAGCCGGGAGGGAGGCCAGCGGCCAGCGGCCAACAAGTTGTCTGCTTCTTTTTTTTATGCGTTTCTACTATAAATTATTAAGCAAAACAAGCCAAGTGCCGGTGGGTGTCCGCGTGTCCGTGTGGTGCCCCTTTTTCTTCGCTTTGTGCAACGCCCTGTGTGCGCCTTTTGCATGCGTAATTCTCTGGCTCCACACCACGGTGGTCCCCAACGATGCCTACCCCACCCCCTGCCGCCAAACTTCGAGTCGAATCCGAATCCAAATCCGAATCCGTGTACGACTGTTGGCTGCACCCGCATTGAATAATTGGCATAGGCTGGGGCGCCACACGCGCCGGGATATGTGTTTTCTGTTGCTGTTTCTGTTTCTTCAGATACATATATATATATGTACATATATGTGCGAGTATATCTGCATATATGCTAATGCCAGAGACCATTCCATGTCGGCTTGATTACTCATACACACAGGCCCCGTCCGCCCGTCCGTCCGCCTGTCCGCCCGTCCGTCCGACTGTCGATCCGCTTGAGTCCCCTTGAGTCCGTCGCTGCCGCTGCCTGTTGATGGCGTTTTTGTGCTGGTCGGTAATTTAGTTTTCAACATCAAAGGCGTGGGAATGGGCTACACATAAAAAAACGCGTATGAATGATGGAATGATATACGCGCTCTGATCCATCCAGGATCCCCAGACAAATCCTCGCCAGCAAAACAAAAAAAAGCCGAACCCCCGGCAGATTTATGGCCTCCAACGAGGGGCAAGGCATTCGGCACTCAAAAGCACTCAAAAGCCGAAAGCCGAAAGGCCAAAAGCCGCCAATGGAACGGAAATTTGTCGCCCCACAACAAATTGTATACAAAAACCGAAAATGACACAACAACGACCAAAAAACCGATCAGAATGCGGTAACAAGAACAAAAAGATACTTTTGTATCTGTTGGATACGGCTGATGGTGATGGCTTTCATACCCTCTATTTTTTTTATTGGATTGCTAGAATTCTGCGAAATCTCTTTGGATTTGCTTTACTTTTTTTTGTGGTTTTTCGCGTTTCCCTTTTTTTGGGTTGTGAGATATTTATTTCATGTTCTTAGGAAATAGTATATTCTGTCTATAAACAGTAAACATTTCAATGGGAATATGCTTGAAAATGATGCAGATATTCATGGCTAAAAGATATTTAAAGATGTTATGCATATCTTCGAGAAATAATAGAATTTGGAACTATTTCCTTTATATCTGAGTAGTCTTCTTGTCGCTATCTGATTGAAGACCGATTATATTCGATTGTAGAAGTATTTAGAAATTATTTATTTAAAGATATCCACTTCGAGTAGTAATGGTAGTGAAGCATATATCGTTTCAGAGATAAGAACAAGGATTAATACATACTTCTGCTTCTTTTTATTCGTTAATCGATTGAAACCCTTTTCAACCTTGGGGCTAAGGGAAAACGTCCGCTCTATCTTTCGTAATCGATAATAATCGACCTAATAACTTTTCTCCTTTGAACTGTAACGAAAGGACCGCTCAAGGAGGCTGTTTGCCCAAAGAACTACCATGTTAATATTTTGTAATCGATAATACTATCGATTATCATGCCCACTTCTTGCTTTGTTCGTGCTCGTTCTCATTTTCAAACCCAATGTTAGAGTATCGCTGAGGAATTTGAAAATATATGCGACTTGACATTGAATGAAGCAGAAATTCAGAGCAGAAAATCGAAAACGTAACATCGGGCGATCGATCAGCGAGACGACTGCTGAGTGGAGCTGGAGGCTTGGGGCCAGATACTGTGCCTGTGCCTGTGCCCCTGCTTCGGGGTTGGTTCCATTGTAGGCAACACCATCATCATCCCAGACAACGAGAACGACAACGAGAACGCTTACGATGACAATGACAAGCGGCGTCCGAGCGACGCGCGCATTTGGGTCAATGACGATGAAACTGAAACGTAACCGATTCCAATGATTTAGAACCCCCTTTGGATCACAGATTGGAGACTTTGCAGAGAGCAGGGAGCTGCTGTTGCATGTGGCAGAGCGGCAATCAAGCAGAAAATGTTACGAAAAATCATTATTTTAGCATGTGGCGACAGCGATACGATATGTATACCTACCCGAAAAAAAGACCCACTGCGCCACAGGGCTGGAGAAGAGAGGAGAGGAGTGGAGTGGAGTGGCGTGGCGTGGCGACTGTGAAGCCTTCTCCAGAGGAAGTGCGGACTGTCGTTGTGTGGTTTTTCGTTCGGTTGATCGGCGATGATCATTTTGTTCAATCGATTGTAAACGATGCGTTGCGATCGTTGCGATCGATTCGATCGTTTCTGCGGCTTTGATCAAATGACAAAATTGATCATTTTCTGTTTGAATGGATATCGATGGATAGCGACGGACCCTCTTCATGGGGCACGGCACCCTCCTCTCCCTCTCTCTGTCTCTCGTGCGACAACAATTGATTTATGCTTCACTGTGTCCGCTCCCCGCTTTGCTCCTCCTCCTGGCCCAGCTGCTGCCGCTGCCGCTGCCGCTGCTGCTCTGTATCTCTGCTGTCTCTGTGGGGTCTGTGTCTCGCTGTGGTCTCTCTGGTCTGTGGCATGTGCAACAAAAGCCCAAAAACGCTTTGTTACCAATAAAATCAAGCAGAAATCCAAGCCATAAATCAAGCAGCCAGTGCGCAGCGCGCACCTTTTTTTTGCTTTGTTTTGTTTTTTGCCTTTTTTTTGCGAATCGAAAAATCAAATGCAAAAGGAAATCTATCTGGCAAATTAGCAACCAAAATGCGATGGCAACATTTTCGCTTTGCAACAATTAATAGTGGCACAGGGATCGCTGGTCGGGGGCTGGTGGCTGGGTGCTGCTGGTGGGGGGGGGGGGGTTCCCTCTCTGAGGTCCGAGTCTCAAAATTCGATTTCACATTCCCGTAGGGGTGAAATCTGCGTTTTTCTGCTTTTGCTGCCTTTTTTTCTGGCTGAAACGCTGAAAGGGTAATAACCAAAAATTAGCAGAAATTGCCAAAAAAAAAAAAAAAACAAAAAAAAAAAAAAGAAAAAAAAGGAAAAAAGTTTGACTTGCATGATTTATCTATAATTTTCCATCGCCTATTGCCGTGTTCGGGTTTTTGGGGTCTGGTCTGGTCTGGTCTGGTCCTGCCCGGGCCATGCCACAAAGTTGTGGCCACATCTCTGATACCCGGGCCGCAGACTGAGACCCCCACAGACAAATATATATATACGAGTACGTATGTATGTATGTATCGGGGAGACCCTGGCTCTGACAGACAGTCAGAGAGTCTAAGCCTCGCGCATTTTTCCCCCAATTTTTCCACGGCTTTGGTTTCCTTTTCTGCAGCTTAACACTTGCGGGTGTTGTGGCCTGCATAATTTTCAGACTCAAACTCTCGGCTCTCCTGTGCTCCCCAAAACATGTAATCGCTGTAATAATAAAAATTTGCAAATGATTTCGTTACTCAATCTCTCAGCCCCTGCCACTGCCCCTGCCCCTACCCCTGCCCCTCTACCTCCTTCAATCACCGTTTATCATCCGTTTATGTTTATCCGTCTTGCAGTCCTGGTTATGGCACGCCGGCTGGCCTTTGGCAACACCCAATGGAGCGCTGGTGCTGCATTTGAGCGACGCTGAGATCGCGCACGCACTTCGTCCCGCAGAGCTCTATCTGTGCATCAAATTGGGTAAGTGGGTCGATCCCTTGTGACCCTTGGAGCCCCAGTATCCCCAGCCCGTACGACTATACTTAGCCAATGGAGGGAACCCCCTAATCATCTTGCCTCTTGGCTTCAATTTGAGGCCATGCATGGATTAGAATGTTTAGGGAATGCCTTTTGTAGCTCTCCCACCTTTTTTTTTTGTTCTTTGCTTTCTGTGGAGTTTTTGTGCAGAGCAAGGTTTACTTCATTAGAGAGTATCTTTAGAGATGGAGACCCATGTAGGACCAATAAGTGACCCTAGCAACGCTAACCCGAAGATTGTTCGCCTGGCCGAGGGGCGCTGCCGCATGTCGTACACCCGAGCCGGTCGCCTACATTCCGAAAAGATGTTGGTCTAATGATCGAGTAAAATGAGCACTAAAATGCATCTATATTACAAAAATGATTACTAACTATAGGAAAGGAATGTTAGTATTAGTGTTGTAAGAAAAGGAATAGTATAGGATGGTACAGGAATCTATAATCCGAGCATAAATAGCCTCATGATAGGAACTATTCCGAACTATAAACCAAAAGGAATGCTCAACGCCTTTTAGAGATGGAAAAACTTTGATTTTCCTTTAGATTTTATCTTCCTTGCATCTGTTTTTATAGACCATAAGCAATAGATCCATGGTAATCAAGTACAAATCCCTTGAAATTATAGATTTTGGAGGAACGAGGAGAAAAATACCAAGAAAATTTCAGTCTAAAATAGAAAAAAGTAAAATATTTCAGGATTAAGGTTATGTTCTTCAAATATCTGGCAAATTTAGACCGTATTCAATGTATGTTCGATGCTTTAGGGAACCCTAAAGATAGCTTTCTTAGATTCTTTGATTCTTTGGAAGAAGTTGGCACTGCCATAAGATCCACAGAAGGAAATATAGATCACTTTCCACTCTAGAAATCTTCCAACTTTGTGTTTTCGCAACCAAAAAAGCCACCTTCCAGTGGCATTTAGCTTTGTCCAACTCTTATCCGCAGCACTACAAGCCCCGATTAGATCGAAACACATTCATTTACCCACTCTTGCTCTTGCCACAGCCACACAACTAATCGCTGGACTCCTTTCCGGCCCCCTTTCTCGTTGCAGAAGCCCCAACAAGCGACAAAAGCGACGACGACGAAGACGTTGAGGCCACACTACGGCTCTATGCTGTTTGGCGCTCCTCCCCGAACGTGGAGAGCGTCCAGAGATATTGCATCGACCATACGAATCCGCTGGCACTGCCACTGAGCCTGCTCCAACTGGAGATGTCCACGACGGCGGCGGCATCAATAATGATGGCCACAACAGACGGCGGCGAGCTGCCGCAGCTGCTGCAGAATCTGCTGGTGAGCGTGGAGCGCAGCATTGAGCGCGTGTCACTGAACGAGCTGCAGATGCAGATGCAGATGCCCCAACCCCAACCACTGGGCGAGGATCTGCCACTGGATGAGGCCAACAACAACAACAACAACAACAACAATAATAATGGGAACACGAATGGGGGGAACCCGAGCAGCATTGCCGGTTCACCCAAGTGCGCGCTGAGGCGCAGCGATTTGATTACCAAAAACAAACTGTTCAACAACCGCTACATGCTGCGGCGTCTGACCAACAGACAGGACAGCATGAACTCCACCTCGTCGGGGAACAGCAATGTCAGCGATAGGAGCAGCAACAGCAGCAGCTCCAGTTCCAGCTCGAGTGCCGGCGAGGAGCTGCTCAACAATAATATGAAACAGAATTCAGGCGGAGGTGGCAACAGCAACAGCAACAGCAGCAGCAGCGAGACAAAGAAGAGGAGCAGCAACAGCAGCCGCAGCGGCAACAGCGACCAGAGTGAGGCATCATCCACGTCCCCGGCACTGCCGCTGTTTTGTTTGGGCAACTCTTTTCCGCATATCGATAGCGATGAGGAGCCCAGCGATGGTGGCGGCGGCGGCGGAGGCAGCGGAAGAGCAGCTGAACGATCTTTGGGTACGTATACGTATACGTAATATTGCATTACGCATGCGCAACGTTTTGCCATGAAAAAATAGCCAACAGCAACAGAAATTGCTTAGCCAGATATCTGTTTGCCCGCTTGCAACAGACACCGCGACTCGAATCCAGTTCGTGGCTTATCGCTGGCCATTTCTGGGCGTGATTTGTCTTATTTGTTTTACTCTCGAACCCCTCGTCCGAGGACCGTTCGCCCGGACTGCAATATCGTATGCAAATGCTGCCCGAACTATTCAATTAAACGCCCCACAGCCAAAAGCCAGCTTCAGCCGAGATCCAGCCAAATTTGTGCCCATTCCGAACGGGGCGCTTTGAAGTCAGATAGCGCCACAAATTTAGCGCTAATTTGATATATTTTCTGTTCATAAATGCTGCCCCGGACATTTAATTCAATTAAACGCCAGGCGATCGTCTCAAGATAAAGCTCTGGCTGCCCCAAATTCTGAAACAGAGAGAGAGAGAGAGTGAAATCTTTGAAAACTTAATATCTTGGACTTGGAATTCCAATATTCAATATCCAGTACCCAATATCCAGTATCCAATATCCAATATCCAATATCCAGTATCCTGTTCTCTCAAAGTCAAAGATGTCTATAGAAACTATAGGCAGGGCAGGGAATTGGAAGGGGCTTCGCCACATTTGTTATGCCTTGGTACAGCGGATTTGAGTGTTTGCCGCGACACTACTACTGGGCCTGCATTATCATAAATATAGTCATTGTGGTAAGCTTCAGTCTTCTTGAGTCTTCAGTGTGATCTCTGATCTCTGGCCTTATTCCAAATACATCCCCGAATCTCCGAATCCCTGAATTCCCTGACCGGTGGGCAGATCATTTACCTGGAGGATGCACGAGAGAACATATACATCATACAGAGTATACCCGTGAAGTTTAGCTACCTTCCTTGCCTCGTGATCATGGTGTTCCTGCAGCTGTTAAGCCTGATCCTGCTCATCACCGATGGCATCATGGTGTACAAGGTCAAGTTTAATGCCACTCAATTGGTGAGTTACGAGACTCTCTCGCCCTCAAGGAACTCAATGAATCCTCCGCCTCCTCTTCAGTGGTTGGGCATATTAATTGTTGTCGGTATAGCCCCCTTAGTGCTCGGAAGCTATCTGTTTCACGACCTCTACGACATCTACGCCGTGGTCTACATGTTCAGGACCAATCAGCTGGGCGACACCGAACAGATGTACAAGTGCTGCGGCATGCTGGGGCCCGTGGACTACAATTATCCACGGATACCCTGCCCGGAGTCCTGCTATCACAACAAGACCGTGGCCCCCGAAAACATCTACGAGCGGGGCTGTTTGGGTGCCATGTTTCCCGGCTGGATCATCTTCGTCCTGTGCAACGCCTATAATTACACATTCATTTTGATCATCTTGACAATGTACTTGCACTTTCGACTGAAGTCCCTTTACGAGCTGATCCGCGTGGATGTGGAAAGAGGCACCGTCAGCCGCAGAAGCTTCTGGGTCTAGACTCTAGACTCTAGACTGTAGACTAGAGGCTCTAGGCTCTAGAGAGTGCTGCCCAAAATGCCCATATGTCCACCGTAATGAAACCGGCAGCCACAACCACAACCACAGCCGCCCACGGCATCCGGCGAGACTCTGGTTAGCCGCAGGGGCAGCCACAGCGACAGACACAGCGACACCGGTGCAAATGCCTTTTAATTTGTCAAAAGCCTAAAATATGAAAATTAAATGAGAAACCAAAGCAGTGTGCCCCCACGGGCCCAGACAGTGGTACAAAATGGGACGAAAAATGTGGGATATTGATGAAAGTTCCTTCTATGTTCAGGTTGATTTTGAAGACTATGAAATACTAGAGGCGATAGAGAGGCAGATCCCGACTATGATCTACTCTAGGGGTAGAGTGGGGCATCCAATGTGCTCTCCAACGGAATCCATAGCCACTCCATTACTCATCTACACTCAACGGCTCTCTCTCTCGCTCTGGGTCTCTCGATGCTTTCCTGCCTCAGTGGACGTTCCTTCCAATGCATTTCTTCCTTCGCTTGCAATCACTCATTAACTCTGTTAGCCCCACACTCAAGTATTGAACCCTATAGTGCTTGAGGTACGAGTATATTGAATCGGTTCTGCTTGAGGATTCCACACCATATATTAGAGACTCATAGTTCCCAGAACAGTGACAGATCCATCCAGCAATAAGAGCTATAAGAGCAACCATAATGAAGGAGCTCTTATTATTGCACATATTCCTTCAAAAGTTGAGTAATCTCGAACTTCTTTAGAGGCCTTTCATATGCATTTCTACCAATAAAATGGTAGAGGAAAGACTAGCACCCGAACACTTAGTAAACAGCCTGCAAAGGTCTCTCTAGCATCAATAGATATTGCAGCTATTTCTCGTATCATATTCATTCCGATGAATGGCAATGTCTGGCACCAGTGTGCACTGGAATGCAACTGGAGTTCAACCCCGAACTGCCGACTAGAGGTATGTTGGGTGTGGGTGCAATTTGCGAGCGGGCATAAATCAGCCGCAAAAGTGCGGGGGCTGCTGCAGGTCTCTGTGGTCGGGATATCGAATTACAATGCCCAGTCGCCCCCCCCACCTCCCCCCTCCTTGTGAGAGACTCCCGCCCCCGGATACGGTTACGGTTTCGGTTTCGCTCTCTGTGGCAGTGGCACCAACAGGTGGCCCCCGATAGAGGTTCAGAGCGATGGTGTGCAGCAGAATTTTCGCAGACGCTGAAATGTGCCGCATTTATCATATGGAAATATTTTTGTCGCATGGGAAAGTCGGTGGACACCGAAAATGAATTATGATGGACCTGTTTTTTGGGGTGTAGACCACGCCCCCCTCCTAGCAGGCGCAGGAGCCGTAGAAGGCTGTAGGCTGTGGGCTTCATGCTGCCTGCCCCAGTGGCAGCAACGAAATTAATCAAATGACATTATTATGCAAACGGCGCAGATCCTGAACGAGTTTTCAAGGTTTTCGTCGACGAGCGTTTAAAACCCAATTAACCCATATACGTGGTCCCCCCATCCATCCATCCATCCATCCATCCATCCATCCATCCGTATTTCTCATGTGTTTTCTCACCCGTTTTCCTCGCTTTGGTTTGGTTTTTCCAGAGACCTGCGAAACGGAGCTGCTGCCGCCCAGCTCCATCGGGGAGCTGCCCGAGAAACTGCTGACCAGCGGCGTCTATCTGCCAGGTGAGTGCCCATCCCCTGTTCCACAGGTGACAAAACTTTCCATTTAATTCTAGACTTTCACTGAAAACTAAACGAAATTTGCCTATAAATTGGAATCGCCCCCATCCCACACCCCACCCGCAAAGAAAAAGGCAATTTGCCGCCGGCGGAAAAGTGCATACCCACTGAGAGGGGAGGGGCTTTTCAATTAATTCGCACATTATCGACCACCCAGGGCGAACCAATTGAGAGATGGAGATGGAGCTGCAATTCTGATTTTCCCCATCTGTTCTTTTGCAGGCACACGCACCCTCAAAGGCGACCCACTTGTGAGCGTGGATGCGGCCTGTGTGGCGTCCGCCGGCCTCAATTGCTATGAGCTTGCCACACTGCTGCTCTACTACAGCACCATACCAGAGCGCAAGTAAGTGTTATAAGGGGGGATAGGGATCCATAACCATACTATCTATATCTGAATCTGAATCTGAATCAGAATTACAATCAAAGCCTCATCGGTTTAATGTCAAAGTAACGCATGGGAATGGGCCCAAAGAGAGAGAGATGGAGAGAGCCCAGAACCCAGAACCAGAATCAGAATTGGAGAATCGGGCATTTCAATTTGTCTGGCAAAAAGTTCATAGACATTGCAGAGACCTCGGCAGCCAGAGGAGAGCTCTCTCACACGAGACGGCCCATCCATATTTACGAGCAGATATGCAAATGTGCAAATGCAACACCAAGTCAGGCAGACGGACAGACCCCGAGTGGCGCTGGGAACGAAGCAGTTAAGCCTTTAAGACCGTTGGACTGTCGGCCGTTTCCTTCACTCCACTCCATTCCATCGATAGTCGGATGGTCGGATGGTTGGATGGTTGGAGGGTTGGATGGTCAGACCGAATGCATGTCAGTCAATTTGCCACTTTGGCTAAAAGGAAACATGCGGCAACAACATCGAACAGCACTTGCATTGTGGCTGAGAACCGAGGACGGAGAACCAAGAACCGAGAACCGAGAACTCTGGGCTCTTCTGGCCTTAGAAAATAGAACAAAAGTCTTGGCTAACACTCGATAGGCGGAAGGAGGGCACTGTCCAGCATAGTTTGCGGTATCCAGTATCTGTCCTAGATCTGCCAATAGATATTTGAATGCCTTTTTTAAGTCAATTGATTCCCAGATTCACAGATTCCCAGGCGAAAGTCAATGAAACTTAATTAGGAGATATTTCCTGTGCTCAGGTGTTCGTGTGGGAAGGAAACGGCTCTTAAGATATTATTGAGGATCATGTTTCATGGGATATTTGAGAAAGGAAACCCCTTAGACATTAATGAGCCTGTAATTTATGGATGTAATTGGATGAAGATCATGAGAAAAACATTGAGAAAAGAGAGATTGTTAGAAAATGAAGATTTTAGAGAAACAAGATTTTAGATAGAGTTTTGAATAGACTTCATACCTCCGCTCGAGATTCACTAGCGAATGCCCACGAATTGCAAAAACCAAATACATGTCTTGTGCGTGGGAAGGCAGATTGATGACCGAATCGATTGATCGATTAAGAAATTCTAGGCACATACATATCTGGAAGAAAAGTCAAAACTCTCTCACAGATCTCTTTCGATGGAAACCCCCCAAATGCATCAGGCTCCCATCAAAGGGGGTCAAAACCCCCTGGGAAAAATCAATCGAAAAGCAGTAAAACAGTTCTCAGGAACAGAGTTTTTCCTCCTGCTGTCTAGTGTAAATTAGAATTCCACTCAGGCGGCTACAGTTGCTGTTGCCGGGGGGGGCTGGTGGGCTCGGGGGGGCCGACTCCATGGCACGTCGTCTGTGTGCGGCTTCCCTTTGTGGTGTGAGAGAGAGAGAGAGAGAGTGGGGGAGGAGCAGAGAAAGAGTGAGAAAGACGGCATACTGCAGGGCAAATGAATGATTTTTTTCAGACAGATTCGTGACACTTTAAGATTTATGATGTGAACTTTTATATTTTTTGTTGTTGCTGCTGCTTTTTGTGCTGAATGCTCGAAAGGTTCCAGGCGGCCACACGATTCCTGGAAATATCAGAAAATCTGTGAAATCTAAATCGACATAAGAGAACACTCATCGCGATTCCCGTTCCAGTTTTCAGTTCCAGCTCCAGCTCCAGCTCCAGCTGCATGTTAATGTTAATTGCTTCAATGCCAATTGGTGGTTAAAACGCGGCCAAATCGTGTAGAAAACTCTTTGACAAACATACAGAGATTGGTAGTCTGGAAGTGGAGTTTGCGCTGAAAACTGGCACACCAGCAGCAGCAGCAGCAGCAACAGCAGCAGCAGCAGCCGCCTCATCATCATCATCAGCATTCAGCATTCAGTATCAGCCAGTCTCTCAGTCTGACGCATGACGAGTTGGAGCTTGAGAGCTGGACAGGACAGGCCGAGGCAGAGGCAGAGGCAGAGGAAGAGCCACTTGAGAGTCTCGGGGCTGCTGCAGCCATTGACATTATTTGCGTTTGTTTGCCGACATGTGTAAGGTATTCATTAGCTGCCTGTCCAAATCCAAATGTCAGACAGATGTACAGACAGTTGGACGGATGGAATTGCTCACGCAAATATTTAATATTTGTAAAGTTTTCACCAAGTGAGCCAAAGTGGGGCCAGGCCTGGGCCTCGCAGTGTCAACAGAGACAGAGAGACAAAGAGAGAGGGGGAGAGAGAGAGAGGGGCACCAGAGAGATGGGCAATAGATGGTTATCCAAAAACTTACATCATTTGTCTGCCTAAGCATATGATGGGCCTGGGCAAAAAGCGGGTCTGACCCCAACACCAAAGACTCTTACTCGGGGTCTGGCTTTAGCTCCGACTCCATCTTCAAGAGACTGGGGGCTGGGGGGCCATGTGTGTGACAGCTTGCAATTAAATTTGTTTTTATGGACAGAGTTCGTGGTGTGTGTGGGGCTCTGCATTTCTTGGAATCTTCGGCTATGACTACGTCTATGAGTACGTCTACGGCTATAAGGTATAAATATGCATGCCCGCGCATAATACGAATATAAAAGAAAAGCTCGGGTTACACACGCTCGACCTGGGCCCAGGACTGTGCTGCTCCTCATATTTTAGTGCGTCGTCTTGGCTGCCCTACTCAGCCGAAGAGAGTAGTGTGCCAAATAGGAAACCCCAAATGGATCGGAAAAACAAATCAGCAAAAGGTCTCAAATTATAATTACCTGCATATGTATGCATGTACCTGTATGTGAGCGAGAAGGTGAGGCCTGGGGGCAGGGGCTAAACACTTTTTGGGGCGCACAAAAATCTTGGAAAATGTGTTTCCGGGAAAATGTATGGGTTTTGTAAGCATTTCCCAAGAAGAGACTAATAAATGAGGATTACTCGTGGATTATTTTAGACATTTGATATCCTTAGGATCATTAAAAATATTACACAAATCTGTGAGAAGTATAAATCCCTATCAATGTGGCCCGTTGTCGGGGATTGTGGTCTTTGTTTGAGCTACTAATGAAATATTTCCTATTCCCATTCTGTGCTGGGGCTCCTCAAAGTTAGAAAGTGTATTCCCTGTTCGTTGTGGAGTAATTACCGCAGTGCTGATGGCAGCATGAATATACATACATAGTAGGCTGCTTTGAAATTGAAATGCCAACCGCTCTTTATAGCCAATCCGTGCAGTGTGCGGCGGCATCATTAAGCCGGCGGTGGCTTGGAGCACGCCACAGCTCTGCTGGATCTCTGGGATCTCCCTCCGAGCATTGCGTGCAATTTGCAACAGCAACAGCAACGGCAACGGGGGTGGACTGTGAGTGCAACAGCCACCGTGGCAGCAACAGCGAGTGGCAAATATGTGAGAACCTGGCCCCGGCATGCGTTTACAGTTACAGTCCGTTCTGGCAGCGGATCAGCAGGAATGTCTGTCCGTCTGTCTGTCTGTCTGTGGCTCTGCCTGCGGCTCGAAGACAAACTTTGGCTAAAGTGTTAAGACACTGCTCCGCTTCGAGCTTCGAGCTGCGGGCTTCAGGCTACGGGCTTCGGGCTCCCCTCCTCCACCGAACAGCTGCCATTAGCAGCAATTTTCAATTTTTATTTACGCTGATTAAAAGTGGCTACCAACTTGTCATAGTTACGTGGTTTTCCTTCGCTGATTTACTGAAAGGTAAAGTGCTTTGCGGACTTTGAGTGCGCCTCAGATTCCGACACTGAGGCTGCCACACCACACCACACCACACCGAAGCACGGTTACAGTGGCAGTGGCAGACCAGACACTGAGCCAAGTGCAGAGGCCGCTTATTGCCAATTAAGTTGAACTTGTTTTGGGCGTTGCCAAGTTTGTGTGTTCTGCTGCTGCTTGCTCTTTAAAGCCCGGCCTAGAGCACCGCCACATGCCACCCCATTGCCTTAATCACAGTTCGAGAGCTGCTTGTGCCGCGTTCACATGTGAACTAGTTCTCAAGGTCTCCCTCCCCCCCCCTAATGGAAATGCAGCTCTGGAAATATACCGTAACAGAGAAATTACAGACCAAGCCAATAATAATACGAGGGGGAAATATAATTCAGCGCTTACCATTAGCAAATTTAGCTGGAAAATTGTGAGACCAGAAACCAGAAATTTCTCGGGCCAATTATAGTTAACTAAATAGAGCATGCAAGGGAAGGATGTGCTTTCGGAAATGAGTTTATTATAAATAAATATAAAATGTTAACAAATAAGGTAATATCTTCATGCCACTCTGACAACTGTGGATTAGGACACTACTCAGAGCCAGAATGGGCTTCAAAGAATCTTCCCAGATTCCAGGAGTTCCAAAGAATAGCGTTTTTTGACAATTAAACTGTTCAAAAGCCTCTAATACCAAAGAAACACTTTTAATAGGGATTTTATGTTTACAAAATAAAGCGAAATCTAGGGTTCCCCTTCTATTAATCCTGCAATGATCGTAATCCGATTACGGTTCCGATATCAGATCGATGCGCGTGAACTAGTTCCGCACGTGGAGCAGCGAGTGGGCAGCTCCGATCGACAACGAAACCACATTTTCGTTGTTATTTATGCGACTTGACCGTGTACCGTGTACCGTGCACTTCTCGCCACAACTCATTCATTGCCCGTTTTCTTGGCACATTTGCAGCACACCGCCTCCTGCCCCCCAAGCACCAGGAACAACCGCAACAATCAATGGCCATAAAAGTACGGAGCAGCAGTCGCAGCGACAACAACAACAACAACAACAACCCGCCCAACAAACATTTACCATTTTAATTGCCATCGAGAAATCGCAACATTTATGCGTAATCGAATTAATTTGCCAAAGTCTCAGGCTCTTAAGCAAGCAGATTGGCAATTGTGAAATTTTGGTCGTTTCCAGCGATACGAATTTGCTGCAATTGTGCAACGAGCAGCACCAACAGAAGCAACAGCAGCAGAACTCCACCCCCTCAAACAGAAACAGCAACAGCAACAACATAAACAGCAACAACAACAACAACAACAACAATGATCACCCGGTAAGTTTAGAGTTTGACCTTTCAGATTGCACAAAATATACAAAAATCATTGGAGTTCGAACTGGAGTTCGGGTTCACGCCCCAAAAAGAGTCGCAAGTCCGAAGCCCAGTCCGAGCCAATTAACCCGATCTACATGACCAGGCCAAGCCAAGTCCAGGCCCGGCCAGGCCCGGCCACCGCCAGACAAAATAAACAGAACTCCCCGGCCAAATCCACTAATGACAACGATTCCGCTGTGTTTTTTTTTTTTTGTTGTTTCAATCTTTTTTTGTTTTGCTCTGACTCTGACCCCAACAGGAGCCGGCATCGCCATCGCATTTGGTTAAATTCATTAGCGTCGACCAAGTCACGACAAGTGTTGCGCCATCACAGCTACCCAGTGGCCTGCTCCCGTCGCTCCCCGCCTTGTCCGGCCAGCCGCAGCAGCAGCAGCAGCAGCCCCATCACGACGCGGGCAAGTGGCGCGAGTTCTTCGCCCAGCTGGAGGCGTTCCAGAGGCAGTGCTCGGCGGCCGGCGGGCATCTGGTGAGCGCCCTCAGCGATATACGCGCCGCCGATCTGCAGGGCCTGCCGACGCGCCGCCAGCTGTACGGCCAGCACCGGGCCCTGAGTCGTGCCCTGATGGACTCGCAGCTGCACAGCCTCCGCAAGCTGGGGGCCTCGCAGCTCTCCCGCCTCCAGGAGCTGGCCAGAGGCATCACCTCTGGCCCGGCGAGTGCCGCCACCGCACCGCTGCGAGGGGTGCCGGTGGGGTCACCGATGACGGTGCTCAATGCGGATGCCGCCTGCAAGCTGCGCAAGGTGACGCTCCTCTTCAACGAGGTGGATCGCGCCGCCCAGCGACTGGAGCAGTTGACCGAGCAGAGACGCGAGCGCCTGCGGCAGCTGACGAGGCAACGGGCCATGGAGGACGAGATGAATGAGGTAAGTACGAGCGAATATAAGACATCAATATCTCTTGCAATATCTGCAAGATGGGAGTCTCCCACTCCTCCTGGACGGAGTGTGGAGATATTTTATGAATTCCCACATTGCCACATTCCCAATTTAAAAGAGAATCCACTGTGGATCGTTAAGTGTTCCCTAAGTTCGTCGAACGATTTACAATATCCATAAAGACGGTTTCTCCCCAGCAGTAGCCAGTAGCCAGCAGCCAGCAGCCAGCAGCAGGAGCAACTTTGTACGCGGTTTAATGAGCTCTGGGGATACGGATTCAGATTGAGATTCGGACAGGAAATGTGCGGCGGCATGCGCAGCGAAATGCCAAATGTATCTGCCAGATACGCAGCGCAGTCTCTCCCTCTGTCTCTCTGTCTCTCTGACTCTCTGACATTGTTAATTGAATATGCATTGCATTTAATGCTGGCTTTATTAATTTATTACGCGCATCCGCTCAGTGTCCACTCCTCGAGGCCGAAGCCGAAGCCAAAGCCAAAGCCAAAGCCACTTTCGCATTAGTTTTAGGATCGGGCTGAAAGATTGAGATTGAGAGATGGGGCTGCCGCCAGTCAGCGGCCAAATGGAGCCGTTAGATAAGCCCCTGCCTGCCTGCCTGCCTGCCTGCCAGCCAGCAGAGGGGGGGATTGGAGCTTTGGAGGAGCATCTGCCAGAGCAACATCTCTTGTGGCTTGTCGCTGCCATTTCCTGGCACTTTAATTGATTTGTTAATGAGTGTCTCTCTGCCTTTGGATACCGTCGTGCCCTGAAGCATAATTGTGCACGCACGCACCCACAACGGCGGCTCCCAGCCTCCACTCGGAGAGCACTGGAGGTATCCATGGATCCCATGCGCTTAATCAGCGACCAGTGACAGTTGCAGCAACGCCCTCCATGAGAGATAAATAGAGAGACTTCGACTTCTACGTCGACGTCGACGTCCTGGCTAATGCAATTTCGCTGATTAATCACAATAATTTGTTGCGGGATTAGCTGTTGCCGGGTTGCCTCCGATGCGTTTACATATTCGTCATACTTTCGCGATACTATTAAGTGTGTTTTTTCTTCTTCTTTTTTTTTCCATTATTACTATGATTGTTGATGCCACACAGCCGATGCGGCGGCGGCGGCTGCCGCAGTTGCAGTTGCAGTTTGCTGGTTAACAAAAGTATGTCAAATTGCAGCTACACGACACGCAGCTACCATATATGGTCCCATAGCTCCCCCAAAGATGTGGCAGATACCACATACTACTAGCTCTTTGGAATCCTCAATTTCATTTAATAATTTGCGGAAATTGGCATTTAAAAATTGGCATCGCCTTGTTAGCGTTTTCTCATACATATCTTGGCTCTTGGCTCTCGACTGTTGGCTCTCGACTGTTGGCTCTCGGCTGTTGGCTTCTGCTGCTGCTGGCCATTTGGCCTTTTTCACACGCTCCCCCGCGCACCGCCAATCCGCTCGGCGATCCAATCCGATCCGCTTGAGAAATGTGCGGCCATTTATCTGAGTTGATTTTTGTTGCAAAAATTGAATTTTAATTGCCGACGAAAAGTTAATGAGAAAAGTGAAAGCAAGGTTAAAGAAATTAAATTTTTGATATTTTTCCTCTCTTTGGCGTTCAATCGATTTGCCGGCAGTTAGCCTGCTGCCTGCCCATTGATTTCAAATAATTTTTGTATTCGTATTCGCATTCGCATTCGCATGACTCGTTGGCTCATTTCATTCATTTCCATTTCCATTTCAAAAAGTAGTTCACCGATAAGCCCCGACCAGTCTCAGCCTCAGCCTCAGTCGCCAATCGCCAATCGCCTGTCCATCCATCTGTCTGTCACTCCCGTCTGATAGACAGACAGACTGTCGCTCGCTCCAAGTGTATGTCTGTCCGTCTCTCTGTCTGTCTGTCTGTCCGTTTGTCCAGCGTTGTCATATCGCGATCGGCGCAAAAATCATACTAAGAGATACTTACGAGTATTTAACACCAACACGCTTTCAATTAAAAAAGGCGTTGACAGCTACCAATTTTGTGCAGATCGTTTGGTGTTGGCTTTTGTCTTTTCCCAGCCTCCCCTCCCCAAGCAATACTCTAACTGTTTGAGCATCCGCTTGGGGTATACCTAAAACAAGTGGAGTTCGTCGACTGAACTCTTTTAATAAGAGATATATTTCTGCTCAGAATAATGTTTGAGAAGCATTGAAAATGACGATTTATAGCAGAGGTTTTTGAATTTGAAGCAAACGACTATCTGCAATTCTTGGGCATTCTCTTCTGAAGTATTCGCTTGTGTGTCCGAGCATACTGTACCTATTTTTGGCATAGCTAAATATCTGGCTTTTATCCCCCGCCAATCTACAATCTACGCATGTTTCTCCTTCTGTTGTGGATAAATTTCAAATGAATTTCATGAGAAAGTTGACATTATTGAGATGTGATCTTAAGTGTTCAAAAGATGATCTGAAATTCTTGGCAGTTTCTCTTTCGCCAATGAAATCCAACGAAAGTGTATTTGAGGCTGGCCTCGAAGGTGTCTATCTTTGTTTCTTTTTAATTAAATCTATAATCTCTCGGCCAAAGATACAAAAAAATAACTGGATCACGAAAACCAAGTCTTGCAACCCCATCCTCTCGGGCAGGCCACCCTCCCCCCTCCCCGCCCCTCTCCACGCCATCCGTCGGCGGACTAACTAATGTCGCTGTCGTCCATTAGGCGTGCGCATTCAAACAAGGTGCGAAAAAAGATGCCGCCGCCGTGGTGGTGGTGGTGGTGGTGGTTGTTGCCACTGTGGTGGCAGTGGTGCCACTGGTGTCGCCATTTTGTTGCCCACAACCACAACCACTAGCACATCCACATCCACGATGATGATGATGATGATGATGATGATGGTGATGATGACGACGACTACGACGACGACATTATGATGCGATATGCGATATTATATCTAAATTGTTGATCGGGCTGCATTAGAGCTGAGAGCGCATGCTGTTGGCAGGAGAAAGGGGGAGATGAAGGTGGGATTGCTCCACAAATATGGCCATGAGTGGTTGGTGGTAGCCTTGGGTGTTTTGCCGGTGAAAGAGAGCCGAGAGCCGGGCTGCAGCCACAGCTACCCCTCCTTCGAAGACCCATAGACAGATGGATAAACATTTGCTGTGTCTGTCGCCTGCCGGCTGTCGTCTGTCGTCTGTCGGTGAAATTGGATTTGTTTAGCGCGCTTTCTTTGAGACATTTGTGTGTGCTCTGTCTGTGTGTGTGTGTGTGTGTGTGTGTGTGTGTGTGTGTGTTTGCTCAAATTAATTTGCGCAATGTCGTCGGCGGGCTTTGTGCAATGAAAACTATGTTTAATTGTTTCGCGCCTTGAATTGCAATCGCGCTAAAAGGAGCGATCTGGCTTCTGCAAGTCCATCTGCAGGGGCATGGGGCATGGGGCAGGGGGCAGGGGGCAGCAGGCAGCATCCACAGCGCATCGGTGTCGCGGAAGGCCTTTCGGCCGCCTGTTTGGCTTGGCTTATTTATGGCCCCTGACATTTGAACCCCGTCTACCAGTCTTAGGCCGTGGAATGCGGTGGCAGCCCCGGCATAACTACAGTTTTTCCCAACTGCAGCTGCGCCATTCAAGAACAGGCTGCCGCTGCCGCTGCCGCTGCCCCTGCCGCTGCCGCATAGAATTCGGTCAGGCGAGAGCCATGAAAAATGAAGGCTTATTTAGTGTCGACATACCCCGAACCCTGGACCCTGGACCCCGAACAGCCCGAACAGCGAACCCCATCCTCAGTGGCATTAATAATAACTGCATGTATTAGCCCTCGCAGGCATAATAAGTTTTTGTTGCACACTAGAGATGGGGAATGGAAGCAGCAGCCCCAGCAGCCCCAGCAGCCCAGGAGGAACACTCAAAACGGTGCAACAATTACGGACGGAACCAGCTCTCTTTTGGGCAATGATCCTGACACTCGGTTTGGGGCTGTTAAACTGCCGATTAGCCTCTTAAATCCCACATCAATGAGTGTGGTTAAACTAACGAACTAACGAGATATATGGATGCATGGATGCATGAGGCCGGCTCTGGCTGGCGAATGCCTTGACCATAAATCGCAGATACATGGCAACACTGTCCATAAAACAGAGTTGCACTGCACAGTGTTTGTGCTCTGCTCTGTCACGTTCTAATTCATTAATGCTGGATTTATCGGTCTGTTAAATACTTAACCGTCACATTACTGTCGATTAGCGAATTGACGCTTAGATAAATGCCGGTCCGGTCCGGTCCAGTCCGGTCTGGTCCGGTCCGGACTCCATGCAGCGAGAATCTATAATTTCTGCTAATGAGGAAACTTTTTGCAAGCTTGAAAAGCAAGAAATTAAAGGTAATTTAAAGGATTATTATGGATATAAAATGGGAAAAACAATAATATTCTGTGCCCCTCTAAAGAAGAATTTAAAGTTTTTCCAAGAGCATGTCTCTCTCTCTCTCTCTCTCCTTCGTGTCGGGCCTCGTGCGTGATTCCGTGTGCGATTCCCTCGTGGCGGCTGTCATCTCTGCGGACTATGAAATGTACAACATGCTTGGCCGCAAGTGCCGCCAATCTTTAACCGGTTGCAACCCGATTGTTGCATGCAAATGTTCCACGCAAGCAAACAATGCAGCCCCAGCCCCAGCTCCTGCTCCAGCTCCTGCTCCGGCTCCGGCTCCTTCCCTCGAATGGAGTCGACTCGAGTGGTGCTGCCTGTGGAGCTGGCTGTGTCATCAAAACGGACGTTAATCATACGCTTAGCATGGCAGCCATCGCCGATGGCAATCGTCGCTTACTTAGAATGTCCATGCAGCTACGAGTATGAGTATTTATTGAATTAACACAGAGGCCAGGGTCCTGCTCTTGGACTTGAACCGAGTCTCTGGCTGGGGCAGCGGGGGACCGGCACTGGTCCTCCTCTGGTATTACTGGATGGCGGACCAGACAAAAGTATAATTGTTGTCGCGTTGTCATG